ACACAAACTGAAGTAGATCTCGGATCTACACCTCTCTTTTGAAGCCACCTTCCTAATCTTCAAGTCCCTTCCAAGATTTCCTTCCCCCAAAGCTATTTCTCTCAAATGATGGAGGCTCCCACGAATCTAGGGTTTACAGTTTCTCTAGGATGATATGGAGGCTGAGGGAGGGGCATAACTCCCTTTTATATAGGATACAACTCCCAGAATTAGGGTTTTCCTCGCACAGACCAGACTCGCCGAGTCTCCTTGGTCGACTCGCCGAGTCGGTCACTTCCTCCCCGACCCGGATCCCGCTCGGACTCGCCGAGTCCCTCCTTGGACTCGTCGAGTCGACCCCTAAACTTAGGGTTTTCTTTCCTTTCTTGGTCTTCGAAACTTTGGGTGTTACATGTTCAAAAAACATCAAGATGTTAAATCAAATTAAAACTATTTAATTAATTTTAAGTTATGAACCCATGCGTTACATTTTTGAAAACTTTTCAAATTACTAGGGTTTTTATGAATTCAGTGTTTTTTAATTGAGACTTTTCAACTTTTAAAACTTGAGGGCAAGTTTTGTAATTATTGAAAAACTTTTGAATTCCATAACTTAAGGAGTTAATCTGTTTCAAGAAGATGAGACTTTTCAAGTTCCATAACTTATGGAACTCTTCAAAAACATTAAGATCAATTTAACTAATATTTATTTGTAACTCCTTAAAAAAAAACTTTTGAGTTCCAAATTTGATGACAAAATTTGTAACTCCTTAAAACAATTAGATCAAATATTAAACTAATAAAACAATCATATCATTTTATCTTTTATTAAATTGATGTAATTCAACTCTTGTAGCAAAATGATTCAAATTTTATAAATAATTAGTTTTTCACAAATTCAAGTAATTATCTTAAAATTTTGGCAATCATCATTTTATTGGATGGGGATAATCATTACCATATCACCAAAATCAAATTTTATGAACCAAAGCATTTTGTGGTAATGATCCTAATCCAAAACAGGCCAAAAACCCAAAAATCCTGCCAACTGATGATCCAACTCGTCGAGCCAGGCTATGGACTCGTCGAGTTCATGACCAAAGTCATCCAACTCATCGAGCCCAATAGTGGACTCGTCGAGTTCATGCTGACAGAAACATTTTTTTTCAACTTTGAACAATTAGCTATGCATGAATATAACAGAAAACTAACCTGGCTCTAATACCAATGTTGGGTTTTGTGTACTATAACACTCCTATGGTTCACATACAACCCTAATAGCTTTGGATCTAATTTTTCTCTAGTTATACATGCAATAAAATTTCCAAAGCATGAAGCCTACAACTAGCATACAATTTTGACATATAAATCATAAAAATCAAGTTAGAAGAATACCTCTTTATTGTAGCTTGTAGTTTTGGCATTTTAAGAGCTTAGAACCTCAAGTGTGATATCTCAAATGGATCAAAAACACCATGAACAAAGGAAGACTTTGAGAGAGAGAGGCTAAACACTCCAAAATCGGCTATATCTCTTCCTAGAGGACCTAGGTGACCGATTTTCGGCTAAGGATAACACATATATAGTGTAGGATCCCAAGGGTCATGTGTAAACCCTAATCCATAAACATAGGCTTATGATCCATAACTCATGTGGACTAACTCTTCATGGACTCTTGCATAAATTTAGTCCATCATGGATCAAAAGCCCAAACCATACATATCACTAATTTACATAATTAGACCCCATTAATTTAAGGGTAAATGGCACAAAAAATACTTTTTTTACACAAAAATTCGATTTTGACACCGTGTTTTTTTATGTCAATTTTGACACTGTGTTTTCCAGTTTGTTACAATTCTGACCACTTGACCGGTTAACCAGGTTACATGTTGACGTGGCATGATGATGTGTCAGCTTTGATGACGTGGTATGCTGACGTGTCAAAATTGATTTTTTTTCCACAAAAAACACTAAGTTTTCACTTTTTTTTCGATTTTGACACTAAGTTTAATTTTTTATTTCAATTTTGACACTATGTTTTTTTTGTTCCAATCGAGCATCATTTATCAAAATTTGTTCAATTTTGTCTATTTTCTATTTGAAACCGTATAAATATATTTTTTTTTATTACATTTTAAACAGTATAAACATATTTTTTCGTTTAAAAACCATATTTTTATTTAAATACAATGTGTTTTTTTTCTTACATTCAAAGCATTAGTTATTTCATGAGAATCAAACTAACCATAAGATGCTAATAAGATGTAAACTTTTGATGGGTTGCAAACTTGATATCCAAGTTTTGATCGACTACACGTCTCTAAACCTCCAAATACATTTTAAAGTTGTATATTTAATATAAAATACAATTTTTATATAACTAATACATATTTATACATAAAAATATGGTTTTGAGTTTTAAAAAATGTATTTATACAAACTATGGTTTTTAAAGGAAAAAAAAGATATTTATACAGTTTAAATGTATTAAAAAAATATTTATATGGTTTCAAATAGAAAATTATCAATATTGAACAAAATTTGAAAAAAAAATGTTCGATTTGGAACAAAAAAACATAATGTCAAAGTTGAAAGAAAAAATTAAACTTAGTGTCAGAATCAAAAAAATAATAAAACTTAGTGTTTTTTGTGAGAAAAAAATTCAATTTTGACACTTCAGCATATCGTATCAGCATGCCACCTCATCATGTCACATCAGCATGCAACCTGGTTAACCGATCAAGTGGTCAGAATTGTAACAAATTGGAAAACACGGTGTCAAAATTGACACAAAAAAAACACGGTGTCAAAATCGAATTTCTGTGTAAAAAGAATTTTTTTGGTGTCATTTACCCTTAATTTAATTAGTATCTTTTGATCACAAAATTAATTCAAATTAATTCTTGATCAATACTAATTATATATTATGTTTTCTCAATTAATATATTATACTTATAATATATTAGTAAATCATAAATAGCCTCTTTCTCAAATATTCATCCTATCAAATTGTTCTGATGAAGGCAACCCAAATGGACCATGTTACTCTCGGGTCAAGTACATACCAATTATAGTTATGGACTTAGATACCTAATCCAACAACAACAACAACAACAAAATTATTATAAAGGGAAAATATGATCACCTTATATAGGTCTTAACGAGAAATTTTAACAAGGTTAGACGGGAGAGACCAAAATCAAAACAAGTAAAGTTAAAATATGATAACTTGTGTCATTTGGACGGCATACACCGAATCCAGAGAAGTCATCATGTGTGAGGTAAATCATGAAGTACAATATTTTAGGTGTGAGAATTTGAATCATAAACGTTCTTTATATAATTTTATACTTCAACCACTAGAACCATCAATAGGATAATTCAACATTATATATATTGCACAAACCAACAGACCTATAAATATGTCATTATTAGGCGGGGCGGTGTGTTGGGGAAATGAGTGAGGAAAAGTTTCCCCCACCATAGAACACTATACCGTGGGGTGAGGAAAAATGAATGAAGGAAAAAAGTGAGAGGAGTCTATCCTCCATTTTCTCTCCTTGTGTGATTGGTTGGTGTTTTTTTTTTTTTTTTAGTTTTTTTAATATTTATTGAATTATATACCTACTAAAAGATTATAAAAAAATATATCAAAATTCATGGTTTTTAATTCCCTGCAAAATTAGTATAATATTTATATGAAATATATTTAAAAAAAAAAAGTAAAAGATTATTCTCACAAACACCTTGACTTTTGGTAAGGAAAAGAAAAGTGAAAGAAAAGATAACATGCAAAAAGTAAAAGAAGCTTCCTACACACAACCTCAGATCTTATAGGTAAAGTCAAATAACATCGACTATATCAATATAATAAAAATATGTTGTTATTTTTCTACGGAATATCCATGGTTTTATTTGCTAAAAGTAATTTTATAAATATTTTGTTTTTTTTTTGTCTTTTCAACTTTCATGACAGAAAATATGAGATATTAGTCAAACGAGTGGATATTAAGCGAATTAAAATTGTGATCGACAGTTTTGTTGGTTAGAAATACGTCCCATCAATATCTCGTAGCCACTTGTTTGTGATCAATCCTTTGTATCTTTATTATATGGTCCCCTTAGTAATGTTTTTCTTTTTCTTTTTCTGAACGCACCATGCTAGTTTACAAAAAGTCATCAATGATCCAAGTAAACAATAAAGTAAACCAACTAAAACCATGTCCAAACTCATCAAGACTCATGACATCCCTAAAGCTTTTATGTGCCTTTTACATTAATTTTATACAATATTTCATGTAATAACATTGAAATGTCACAAAATTAATCGAATAATTAATAGGTGTGATGGACAATTTTATTGGTTGAAAAAAGCGTTCCATCACTATCAACATCTTGTTGCATAAGCTATATGGTCCCCCAACACATTATTTCAACAAATAGAACAATGTCCACTACCTCCAAAGATATGGGCTTTTTATTTACAACTTTCTACATTTTTATACCATATAATATATATGAAAACAACAGTTAATCGATTAATTTTATTGGTTTAAGGAGCGTTTGGTGGATATTTCTTCAATAGAACACCACATAAATAGTATCATTTAATCAATTAATTGGATAACTTACTCGAAGAGCATCCAATTTTGAGTGGTTCAAAGGGGCAGATGAAGATGATTCCTCGATCGCTTGTTTGTAATTACTTTACACATCACTAATTATGTATGCAATATACTACGTATCAGATATGAGAAAATAAGATTATGCGATCAAGTTGAAGAGAAAAGAGAACAAAACTCGAAGAAATAAAATAACAAGTCATTAAATTATCCAGATCATTTTCAAATTGACAACCAAATCTGTTTATAACATATACCATTATTACCTTCTCCTTCTCCTCCTCCTCCTTTCTCTTGCAAACCCCCGATTTTGACAAACAAAAAAACCAGGGGATTGAAAAAGACAAGTGAACATAGAAGAATATCATGTCTTTTTGTCTCTCAACAAAAGCATAGAAATTAAAATATATTATATATATCAAGTAGAAAGGCCAGTCATCTTGCAAATAGGGCATAGATTTTTCTGTGAAAGCCACTGCTTAATGCAACTTGTGTGGAAATCATGTCCACATTCCAAACTCCCAATATTATCTCCATTTATATATTCTTCCTGCAATACAAACAACACATAGTCACAATATAATAATAACAACATCACCCAAATTATCATCAAAATAATAATAATAAACTCGTTTAAAATCAAGACTTTAACAGGAAATGTTTCATTTTAAGACCCACAAAAACCCTAGAAATAGCATAAACTTGAACACAGCGAATCCGATTTTCTTTCATGTTTTTCTTTGTTGAAGAAATGGTGAAAAGTAGAAAATTTTCACATAGTTTAAGAGAAAAATCTCACCCGACATATGCAACAAGGCTCCAAATTTTGGGTTGATATAGCCATGAAAGATATGTGTTTTCTTTGTTTCATTGATTTCATGATAACTTCCTCACTCAACCCAGTTTTCACATCTCCTATACGTTCTTCAAGTGCCAAAAGTTCCTGATAAACAAATCAATGTTTACAGAAATATTAATAACTAAATAATATTTGGAAAGAATTAAAAAAAAAATAGCAAGACTCAGAGGTTTACCTCATAAGACATGTTATCAACATCTAGCCTCATATCTCTGTGCCTGTCATGTAGCTCAGAAACCCCGTTTATAAATGGATCAAAGAGCATGTAATCCTGACATATAACATTTCAGAAAGTTGTTTTGAAGAATAAGAAATTTTGGGGAAATTATTCAAGAATCCAAATGTTTTTATGCTTATTTTTTATTAGAATTTGGAAAATTATTCAAGAAAACAACATCAGACCTCAGCTCGTAAGCTTTCACCTCTTCGCAATGCATTCAAAATCTGGCGCATCTGTAACATGGAAGTCAAACATAATTTCATGACTTAATAACACATTTATTTAATATATATATATATATATATATATATATATATATATATATATATATATATATATATATATATCTTACAAAATGTAAAGAAAACTACGCTTCAAAATCAACATTTTAAGGTACATATTTGAACTTAAGTGTTGAAACACTAGAACATTATTTTTGAACATACAAATCATAAGATGGAAATTATATCAAGATATGTTTGATTTAACTAATTGTGAAATTTATAATGTAAGATGTATCCAATATAAAAATAAAAAACTAACGAATTTTATTTAGTTATATCATAAGAAAACAAACCTCAGAAACAAGCCTATGTCTTCCCTCAATATCAGAAGCAAAAGCCTGCCACTCATCACCAGGCACCTCAATCAAAGGTCCCGACCTTAAAAAATGTTGACGATGACGCCCCCGGGTAGGTAGCACATTCTCCTCTGAGGAAGAAGAAGATCCCGAGGGCAAAATGGGAAAATGACCTCTATGGCCCACAGACTCGACCTCAGAAGACGGGAAAAGAGTCCAAGGAGGAAGCTCGGTCAACCTTTGCTGACCATGTGTCCCAGAAGAGCTTGCATGATGAGGTATCCAAACAGGGTCATTTCTGTAATTATTACCTCCATTGTTGCTTGATCTCCCAGTTGCTAAGCTCCAATTCGTAGGATCTTGCACCATATTTCTTGTCTCATTTGAAGGACCAAAGTAAGAATTCTGATCATTGTTTCTTGATGAATTTCCATTTCTTGAAAAGGGAATCAGGTTTCTTGGCATTCCTGGAACTTGAACTAAAGGTGGTTGAACATTTAAGGGTTGACTAGAATTGGGAGGAGTCAAAATTGGTCCTCTAGATGGTTGACCAAGATATTCACTATGTGGAAGTCGTCTAAAAGGCAATGAGTTTCCAGGGGTTCCGGTTGAAGATATGTTAAAAGGTCCGGAACCGGAATCTCTGATTCCATTGTATCTTCGTGAGCTCTCGGTTGCAATTGGAGGAGTAAAGGCACTTGGAGAGTTGACCACTGGTGAAGGTTGACTTGCACTGCTGGAAGAAGTACCTTCTAATGCTTTTCTTTTACAAGAGAGACCCCAATTCCCAAAAGAACAATCTGGTTCATGTTCATGTTCATGGTCATGTTCATGTTCATGGCCATGTTCATGTTCATGTTCATCAGACTCCATTTCAGGAGTACTCGGTTTGTAAAGATTCATGAATCTGAAACCCTGTCCACCATCATTTCCACTACTATTACTATTACCTCCATATTCAAGATTCAGATTTACATCCATGGGAATGTGATTAGGAGTGGAATGGAATGGATCCAATTGTCGTTCTTTAAATCTTGAATCTTGTTCATTGGGTCTAGAGCTTGATTCGCCTACATCCCAGCTACTGAAACTTCGGGAGTTATGGTGATCATTTGTGTTTTCACAATTGAAATTTAGTTCACCAGAAAGATCATTACTTAAGAGGCGTCTTTCAGTGGGGGATAACCTGATGTTGTGTTCATCAGACTCGTTCATACCATGATTAGGACCCTGGTTAAGATCAACGGTTTCAGGGAAGGTATCAAAGATACTCCTTTGACGTTGCATTAGGGATAATAATCAAAGATTCAACCACAACTCTGAGCTGATAGAAATGGATACCTGAGATTGATGCACATATATTAGGTATAGATATTGGGGTTAAATGCACATTTATGCAAAAAAGTTTCTGCCTTTTTTCCTCAATTTATGCAGGAAAGTGGTTTTTATGCTTATAATATGCAAAGTTTCATTTTATGACTGAAAATGGAATGGAAATTAAAAATCTTGAACCAATAGACTCCACTGAACACAAATTATATCCACATTTCAGACGATACTCCCATGTTAACAAAGGGAGCCATACTTTGACTTTGGATGTCAAACTGGGTACTATCTTATCCTTCAAGGTTGATATGAATGTTTAAAGTTTCGGAAGAAAAAAACTACATATAATTTATACGAAAAGGAAAACCTTTTGTACTAAATTTGCCATCAAACACAGTAGGTTTGACCTAGAAAAATCAGTAAAAAAACTGGTTTCTTGATAGAAATAGACATCAACTTTATGTGAATCTTGTTTCTTACTTCGTAAATCAATAAGAAACAAACCCAGATAGCTAAAAGTCAGATCCCCTCTTCGCACTCAAAACAACAACTTAACAAACAAATAAAGATGTCTAATTGAACAAGAAATAGAATCAAATTCATAAAAAATAGGAATCCCTATGTTGAATAAGTGCTCAAATCGTAAAGAAATTGATCGGAAATTGTACCAATGAAGATAATTAGGGTCGACGGAAGCCGAGGCAGTTTAGCCGGTGGGTCGACAACGTTTCACCAAGAATCGAAGCGATTGTGCTACGCTTTCGCCGACGGTTTCCTCTGGCGGTGGGTGAGAGAAATAACAAAGACACGAGAAGGTCACTGGGAGGGGAAGGGAGGGGGAGGAGGAATAAAGGATGAATTGTAGGTGTTGATTGAGAGATTAAGGAGTAATTGGGTCTTGATTTTTGGTTGATCTTGGATTAGGTTTTGATCTTGGGCATAACATAACCCTCTTTTCCCAAGTTCACCAAATTTCCAAGGTTGCTTTTAATAAAAATCAAAAGATATTTTAGTGAGTTTAGTTACAAATTTTTATAATTATCTAATATAATAAAGCTATTACTCTTGTTAATAAGATTTAGTCATCAATGTAACAATATTATAATCTTATTGCCATTTTATGTAAAAGATTATCAATTTTGGTCAATTTTATGAAAATAATAATAATAATTTTTTATATTAAAATGGTTGTAAAATTTTAATTAAGTGTATTTAATAAAAGAGAAATTAGATACTTTCTTATATTTAGTTATTACTCGTCCTTTTATTTATGTTAAATGGTGACAAATATATTAAAATATTATTAACTACATGAAATAAGACATGTTTCAACATTTAATATGGATAAAACGATGAATATGAAGAAAATGTAGGAGGATATTTAATGATAGAAACGATCACATCCTAGACTAGTGTCTTGTAATTTTTATCAACAAAACAATGATCGTTAACCTCTTGAAAACCATTTGATGAACTGTGATTTAACTTTTTCTTATGGATATGATATGTAATTAGGGTATTTATGAGATGTGTTAAGGCAAGGCAAAGGTGTCAACAGAGAAAGTAAGTGTTAGATTAATGTTTATCATAAAGTTATTTAGGATAAAAAAAAATGTATACAAAGAGGAAGGATTAGGATTTTAAGTTCAAGAAAACTTTTTAACTAGTTATATTAAGTGGTGGTAAATTTGAGAACTAAAGAACATGAGGATAGAAAATGTAAAAATATGTTATAAGACTTATAAATCCATTTCCATCTCATTTTATTTTATCCTAATCGATCAGTGTAAAATGTATGCAAGTGTGAGTGGCGATTTCAAGGACTAAATGCCAATATAAGATAAATTTAAGTGGTGTTTGAAGTTTTAGAGCCTAATACATCCATTGCGGATCATTAAAATGTATAATATCACCATATTTCCTCATCCTTCTAGCTAGGGTTTTGATTTCTAAATCTAATCAAAAAATTGAAATGATTTCATGGAGTTATCATGACTTTTAGACCATAAATCAAGCTTATGATGTGATACTAACATCAATATAGAGCCTAATTCATCAATTAGAAGAGTTTTGAGTTCCAAACCCTATGTTATGTGTGGAATTCAAATGTGATGTATAATTCCTTGAATAGTTAAGTTGATTAGCTTATCTTTGATGCTCTTAATAGAACAATAAATTAATAAACTTATATTAATACTTTATTTATATATATGGATCCATTATGTGAAGTTTATAGCTATTGATGAATTGTGAGAATTACAAGATTCATGAATGGTTTGGATTGAGTTTTATATCTAATAGAAATTGAATTCAATCATAGATTTGGGGTGAACTCGGTATGGTATATATTTATTTTACTTCAAACTGTGTATCGTATTAATTATAGTTGGTATAAAAAAAATTAAAAGTATCGCGCCAAGTATACTCGGTATAATCTTTTTTGGCTGCCAATGAGTTTGATTGATACAAATTAACAATGATATATACCAACTTATTTCTAATTTTCAATTATAATAGCTAAAGACCAACAATAGTTTGAGATAATTTTGTCGTCTAGTAATGAAATCAGTAAAGTTTACTAAAGAATTCTATTAAGTAACTTTCTACATTTTAATTTAATGTTTTAATAACTATTGACTATGACTAAATAACTAATATCATGCTCTTAAGATTATAAACATTAAACACACTTAACAATTGAAATATATGATTATATATATATATATATATATATATATATATATATATATATATATATATATATATATATAGTACCTTATCATGATTACTCAGTTGGTAATGGTATTGCCAACCAAACATATTGGTAGCCAACTATTTTGGTTCGGTTGGTAGCATGTCAGTTGATTTTTCATGGTGTATATTCAACATCCCTATATATCACCTCACTTATTTGATCTTAACTTCACAATTAAACAAGTGAAAAAATAGTAGTGAATATGAATCTATAACTCTATGATGCATAGTGAACTGATAAAGTACGCGAATTTGATAAATTATATCATGGTTTTAATCAAATTAAGATGTCGATTTTGGGTTAGTAAGGGTAATTGGATGTATTTTAACTAGAAAAACTGGTTAAACTGATTTATGAAGAGTCTTGGAATCTTAGGTCAAAGCAGTGGTGAGCCTAAAATAGAAATATGTGTGAATCCCTAACCGAGTTTAACTAGGTCGGTTCAAAAGAAAATCTGCTTCAAATGAGCCCATACAACCCGAAAAATAACATATCCAGCTTGTATAAAAGTTGGCGGTGGAAAGACCGATCCTAAATTGGTCATCCCTTATTTATTTATTTTACTAAAACCAACTTATACATGCAGTAAGCTAGTCTTGACAATCCCTCAACAAGCTTATAGTGAAAGAAAAAATATCTATTTATAATGAAAAATCCACTCACCACTCTTATTTTTGGAGTCGATGTGGAACCTTTCATGCCAAAATATGGTAAGTCTTCTATTCTCTATAATTTATACCTCTTTATCCCTTCATTTTTTCCAAACGCATTAAGAGAGGTCCTTCAAAATATTTAAGATATGTCCTAGATATATTTTGTATATAACTTAATGTAAATTTTTTAAATCAAGGTGGGTCAAGTGACCCACCATGGGATTAACTGGTCTCTGTAACACATGTATCTCCATGTACATTTCTTATTTTATGAAGTTTTAAATTTTTGGGAAACATTGTCCTACACGGGGCGTAGGATAGTCACCTATGCATGGTGTAGGTCAACAAGTCATTGTGGGGACTTAATGCCCTACGCAAGGAGTAATATAAGGCTACACATGGTGTATGAATGTTGGATCTAAAACCCTAATTGGGGGTTTGTGAGCCCTATTTAAAGACTTTAATCCCTTGAGAGCCTTCTCATGCTTATCCTATAGCCTCTCATACTGTAACCTCAAAACCTCAGCCTCTTTATTTGAGTTTGGAGCCTTAAGTGTGGTTTTGTGTGCATTTAGTGAAGGAGTCCATTGGAGAGGCATTGGTGAACCTCAAGTTTGTAGATCCAGACTTTGCTCTTCTTCAACATTATCCATGCGGTAGAAAGCTTGAAACTTGATGATTCCTTTGCAAGATATAGTTAGTTGTGGGGCATTTGTCCCTTGACTTTGGTCTTAGTGAGTATAAGCTAATCCATACCTCGTGAGTGGCATTTTATATCATTTTTAAGGTAGTAAAGTGATAAAAATAGGAGCTTGGGTGCTCCCATAAAATTCATGCATGAATTCTTGATCTTTGGAGTGTCTTATGAACATAGGGTTTTGTATTGTGCTCTATTAAGCCATGTAAAGGCATAAATTCAGAAACTTTATCACATAGGATGTTCTTTAAGACCAAATATGGGAATGGGATTTTTAGTCTTTAAGTATTAAGAGCTTATTATAAAGTTGACAAAACAAAATACTATGTAGGGCGTAATTTTGGCTAGGCAGGGCGTAGCTTGGTTTTGCCCCGTTTTCCATCAGAAGACTATACTTTGGGTGTATAGCATGGTACACATGGAGTAGCCCCAGAAGTTGATTTTTAAACAAAACAGGTTTTAGGTCAAGTAGGGTGGATTCTAGCCATGGAAGGGTAAAACGGTCTTTTACCCAAGTAAGATGTGACATCCCCAAAATCTCGTCCAGAAAAGACTGGTTTCATTTATGCTTTTAAAATAATTTCAGAGTAAATCCTTTTGATTTAAAAGAGTTGCAGAATTTGTTTCCAAACCAAAATATGATAAAATAAAGTTTATCAAAGCATTTCATCAGGAGATGCATTTTCATTATATAACAATATTCGGGATGTCATGTTCCGATAGACAGACCAAAAGCATAAACAACATATTACAAGCCATACAACAGTTATATACATATACATGCTCATAAACAAAACAACTTGATGATTCATCCATTTTATGCCCTCGCGCCACTTCCTGTAATACAAATAAGACT